AAAAAAAAAAAAAAAAAAAAAAAAAAGAAAAAAAAAAACAGTTTCTGATTCCGAATTCTAGTCGGACTAGGATTTTTCCAACTTCTTACGTTCCATAAAACGCAACACAAGGAAAGATCCTTGTCTTTCTCACACACCACACCACTACCTCTCTCTCTCTCTATCTCAACCCTTCATCTCTTTCTCTCTCTTGTTCTTATTCTCTCTCCTGCAGTGCAGATTATTATAAAAACCAGAGCAAACCAATCCCACATGGGTTCTTCTTTCTTTTGCATTTATATTTCAGAGTTTCTTTGAAATCTAATCTTCATCATCAGAGAACAGAGGGTTTATTTTTTTGCAATGGAGAAGGCCTCAAACTTTGTCATTAATGGAGGCATGATGAGATTACCTGTTGGGTATCGATTTTGCCCCACAGATGAGGAGCTGGTCGAGCACTACTTGAAGAGGAAGGCGTTTGATTTACCTCTCCCTGCTTCTGTCATTCCTGACTTTGATGTCTTCCTCACAGATCCATCGGCCTTTCCTGGTAACACAACTATAACAATTCAGATTCAAATTCAAATTCAGCTCATTCCTGAGTTTCAATTTCTTAATTTCTATGAATTGATTGGATTTCGTGTTGTTCTTGATGTTCTTGTTGTTGGGTTTTAGGGGATTTTAAGGAAAAAAGATTCTTTTTTAGCAAACAGAGGAGTTTCTTGAGGAGAAATACTGGGTGTGGGATATGGAAGTCCACTGGGAAAGAGAAGTTGATTGTTAACCAGGGCATTAACAAGGTGGTTGGGCTGAGGAAATCTCTGGTTTTTTATGAGTCAAAAGTGTCTGAAAGAACAGCAACGACTCGGTGGGTCATGCATGAATATCGACTGCCACGCTCTGGCTCTGTCTCTGCAACAACAACTCCCAACTCAACACAGGTAACAGACAAGTTTGACCATGGACGTACTTGTGCCAAATTACAACACTGCCCTTCTTTACATCAAAAGAACTGATTCATTTCATACTTTGTTTTGTTTTGTTCCTAAAATGCAGCTGGAAATGGAGGATTGGGCTGTATATTCTTTGTTTCAGAATAGAAGAAGGCCTAAAAAGAAAGAGGGAAGGAAAGTGGCGCAGGGAAGTGTAATGGGTTTGTTGAGGATGGAGAATGGTGGGGAATTTTCTCAGCCTTGTTCTTCGTGTTCAAGTGGAGTCACTCAAGTCTCTTCAAATGGTACGGAAAGTACAGATCAGGAAGAGAGCAGTAGTGACTTAGGCTTAGGTTTAGGCTTAGGCTTAGGCTTAGGCTTTTCTTCTTCATATTATGAAGCTCACGTGAGAGGGGTGTGAATTGTGAGAGCTTCCCCACTCTCTAATGGCTGAAAAAAAGTTGAATTTGTTTCGTTTTTGGGTTACTTTGGGCTCTGTTTAAGCAACGAGATTGAGTCAAAAAGAGAAGAAAAAAGGGCAAATTTAACTACTACTCTACTCTACTCTTCCACAGAGAAAAAAAAAAAAAAAAGAAAGAAAGATGTTTCAACTTTTTGTGTGCCATGCTTCTGTAATCCAATCCTGCCGAATAATCATGGGGCCGAAGGGAGGAGGAATGTGGGGAACTTTTAATTTTTTTTTTTTTTTTTTTGGGTATTTAAGGTGTTTCATATCAAAAACTAGAAGTTAAGTCCAAACTATGGGGAAAATGAGACTTGTCATTCATACATGGTAGAAGATTGGGATTGGGATTGAGTCCTATATTTCATACTAATTTATGGAATAACCCTGAATTTATAAGTAAGTAATACACCAGATTTTTTTAGAGAAGCCCAAAGTAAAGTCACAAAAGTTTTACTCAAAGTAGAAGATATCATACCACTGTAGAAATCTGTGATTCTTAACGTAAAATAATAACAAAAACAAACTTAGCATCCATTACAGCAAGCAAAGTGTTTTTTATTTTTTTGGTATTCAATCCAATTGAACCGGCTAGAGGGAACCTTCAAGTGGGGCTGTTCTTAATGGCATCCATTGACATATGAACTCGATGCCCCATTAGTAAATTTAATGTCTTCTCAAATCCTCGAATCTCCAAGACTTCTTGTTATTTTAGATTTTTATTGATTGTTTAAAGAGAGAGATTCCCTCGTCTTCTTCAATGGCCGTAGTAGTTTAAATTATTAGATATAGGTTGGATGTGTTTTCTCCTAAAGAATGGCGCTTGTCTTAATGAGATGGCTGAGTACTCTTTTAAAATAAAAGTATAATGTTTTTTATTGGGAGGGAGGGAAGAACTTCAAAGCTTGGGGCAGCACAACGCATCCTCACGGTGAGCTACGAGTATGAGATTCCTTTTGTCTACTAGCAGAAGACCAGAGAAAACACAAATATCCAGAAACTAAAAAAATGAAAGAATAAAAAAGAAATTTCCTTATGCCCTTTCGAATTTTGTTCTGCTTCATTACTTCAAGAAATTGAATGTTTTTTACGGCAAAGACAAGCAAAAACGACGTCAGATTCCCTAAGCAGCAGAACAGTAAAGTGGAAGTCTAAAGAGAAATAGTTGAATGGTAAGCAAAAGTTGGTTTCTTGCAGCAGAGGTTTTAGAATCTTTGAAGAGATGATGATCTTATAAAAACGATGACAAAATTCTGCACGCCACAACATTGAAGAAGACAGATGAAGATGTAAAGAAATAAAACCTGTAAGTTCTGGTGCGCAAGCTCCTGAAGTGGACCTGTCATGTCAATTTCAGAAGAATTCATTAGCAAGTACGCGAGGCTCTGGTATTTTCCATGTGAATGCATATCTATTTAAAGCAGCAAGTAATGGCATTTCCCACAACTGTCAAGGCAATAATCTAGAACAAGATGAAAGAGAGAATTCAAATTAGTAAATGGTTCATAGGGAAAAGAAGATCTAACCCCATCAACCAATATTCAATTAATAATTGGTTTGTCGACGTTGCAGCTGATACACTACGCAATCCTTGGAAGTGATCAACCGTAAATCTCCCAAGCTTGTCTCGACTCTCAAACAGAGAGTTTTGCTTCAATTTGGGTTACTTCTTTTCATAAAGAGTACGTCTGAAATCCCATGCAGGAGCACCAGCAAGAGCAGCTGACACAAGAAACTTGGTGAATCCGCACGTCTTCAGGATAACTTTATTCTAGTTTGAAACATTAATAGAGTCCCTGAAGCGAACCAAGGAAAACTAAATGCACAAAAGAGAACTTTAAAAGAAATGACACGGTAATCTCATATATGACTGAGCAAGAAGCTTAAAATCATATACATATTTTGCGAGCAAACTTTTCAATGTGAGATCCCACATCAGTTGGAGAGGAAAACGAAATATTTTTTATGAGTGTGGAAATCTCTCCCTAGCATACACGTTTTAAAAACTTTGAGATAAGCTAAAAAATGACAATATCTGCTAGCAGTGGGCTTGGGTTGTTACACTTCATCTTCCAAATTCGAAGATAACTCCTGAACTCAAAATTTCAAAAGAATTCCCCTTAGCTCCGCATTATTTTGATTTTTACTTCTAGTAAATGTATAGAAAGATGGGAAAACACTCTAAAGGAGTTTTCTCCACCAAAGGACCCTCCAAAATTGATAGGAATCACGGATCTCCACAATAGTATGATATTGTCCATTTTGAGCTTAAAACTCTCGTGACTTTACTTTGAACTTTCTCAAAATGTCTCATACCAATGAAGATGTATTACTTATAAATCCATGATCATTTCCTAAATGAGTCAACGTGAACCTCCCTCCCAACAATCCTAAAGAGAAACCTCATCCTGGAACAGTCACCTCTTTTAAATATCAGCCTCTCCTCCAGCTCTTTGTATATAGTTTATATTTCCACAGGCTTTTTAGAGTTTCCATAATGAATTAAGCCACGAACCACCTGAGGGGATGACAGTCGATAGCCTCCATTACTTCTAATGATTTTATGTTGTAGTGCAGCTTCCAATGAAACTATTTCGTCACCATCGTAGCAATGTTACCAATTCCAAGACCCACCAAGAGAACATGAAGTGTACAGCCTTCCATTGAAGGACCTTCAAAAGGAAATTCCCCCACAATCTTCTCAATTATGTTAGCCACATCAACAGGGTTTTAAAGGCTGAAATAGTGAAATCTAACAAGTGGGAAGATAGAATGCACCAATTGAGAAAGCGAAAGTGTCTCCTTCCAGGATTCAAACTTTCTTCCCCTTTCGTAATTCATTTGGCACTCTTTCTACCCTCTGCTCTTAAAACAGTACATGTCGGCATTTCACAATAGAAAACCAAGTAGTTCAGAAGCCATGACTTAGAAGTAATAAAAAAAAGAGAAACAGCAATGTAGTAAAAGGAAATGGTTGCTACTATTGTCAAATGCAGCATCATCACGCAATTACACCAAGTGAATTGCGAACACTATTATCAACGACCTCGCAATTGTGGAGCAAAAAAATAAAACAGAGAGTTACCTCAAATTGCAAACATATTGAGTTATTTCAATCAAACGCTCAGGAATGCTATGAATAGAAACTATTTTCCATATCTAATTTTTATGCATCAAACAAATTGATTCACGGCACAATGTGCGAAGAACAGTTTGTCATATGTCTTATATGTTTCAACGGCACAAATAAAACTTTTCAAAGCACTATATACTACAAATATAAGAATAATGGAATCCCAAGAGATCGTTAATACTTAACAGTAAACCAACTTACAAGAGAAGACATGGATGGAGAAAGGAAATTCCCCTTTTATTTCATGGAACAAGAATCAGGTTTTCCTTGATGCATTTCCATTTCACATGTGCCTCGTGTTGGTATATTCATATTAAAGATCAAAGATGTAGAACAAATCTAAAGCTGTTCACCTGTCTATAAAAACATTGCATGAAGGTCATTGTAGCTTTGATAATCATTTCCAAGTTCGTGACAACCAAAAACAATCATATGGGTAATAAGCTTTTAAGAAAAATATTAGATTTAGAAATTATATCATGCACAATGCCTTGTGAACCTTGCTGAATTCTATTTAACAACATGCAGGAGAATAAGCTTTTGAGGAAAGAGTCACACACAGCCAATTTTGCTCTGCACGGTAGAATTGCTAATCAAATGAAACAAAACCTTAAGCTTATATGAAGAATCAGTTGATGGATAAATTGTTCAGAGTACCATCTTACAAACTTTTTTCAACCAACCAATTAAATGGAATTTTTCAATAACACAGCATGAGGAAACAACACTTACCGTAGATAAGCAGCTCTAGGTTTGTCTGTAGAATGATTGCATAAATTGATTGTTTTGACGACAATCTAGACTGTTCATCTAGAGATTTTATGGTCAACAATAATCCTTACAGGAGAAAAAACCATCTTTAAAATGATCAATCCTACTCAAATCTCTAACAGTAATTTCCCTTATAACAATCTGTGAGATCACCTTGATTGCAATTTGCAGCATGACATCTCGCGCTCACAAATTTTTCATTAAAACTATTGGTGACCCGTCTGGTGTGTCGAGTAGAGCAAATGCAATTGAGAAGCATCTGCTGCGGTATTAAAGAAACTCAATGTTGATATCCTTATCCATGTCATGAAGGGCCCAAGTTATGTCTGGTTTATATCCTTTCTTATCCATCTGCATCGTCAATGCATCAATCTTCCTCAAAATCTTCTTCATCCGGGGATGTGTATCAGTCGCTGAGAATACATGAGTCTGATGTTTGATTTCAACCCAACTATAGGCTGGGACCTTACTAACCCCTCGCTCCCTCATCACCTTCTTGATCTTTGAAACATTGTCCCACTGACCAGCTACAGCATAAATATTAGACAGGTTGATATAACGACCAGCATCTCGAAACTCTTCCATATTAAAAAGCTGATTCGCTGCTTACTTAGTCAACTTATGATTCTTATGACTTCTGCATGAGTTAAACCACATAATCTCATCAGACTCAAATGGCATTTGAGCCATCAACTTCTCAGCTTCATCAAATCCTCTATTTTGACACAATACATCAACCATTGATGCATATTGTTCCCTCTTTGGAGTGACTTCATAAATTTGAGCCATGGAATTGAAGTGCCAAAGAGCTTCTTCAACAAAACCAGTGACTGAATCATCTGCTGAAATGATATTTTGAGCATAAGCTGAGATTAAAGCACTACACGACACAGAATTTGATTGCTTCTTCCATCAACCCCTCATTTGAATAATCTGTCATTAAGGCACTGAAGGTCACTGTGTCTTAAATTATCATTTGCTTGGAGAGCTGGCAAGCTAAATAAAAGCAACAGGTTTTGCAATAAGCATCAACCAACGAGTTGCAAACCATGAGAGGTTGTTAGGAATCCCAACTCTCCATAATGGTATGATATTGTCCACTTTAAGCACAAACTCTCGTGGATTTGCTTTGGGCTTTTCCCCCAAAAAGTCTCATACCAATGGAGACTGAAGACGTATTCCTTACCTATACACTCATGATCATCCACTTAATTATTCAATGTGGGACTCACTCCCAACAATCCTCAACAGAGGTTGTACTCATATCCGAGTTTAATGACATGGGCATGGATTTGAATAATAAAATTCTTAGTTTCCAATTCACCACAACCTGATAACAAAGTCACTAATCTCATTATCTGGTTCGTTCCCTCCCCTTCTCATATCAGCATAAAGCCTACATGCTTCTTTAGATTGGTTAGATTGCAAACACCCACAAATCAGAATTGTCCATGACACTGCCCTACGTTCCACCATGCCATCAAACAACTCTCTAGCTTAAGATAAGTTGCCAAACTTAAGGTAACCAGAAATCATCACGATCAAGGAGATCGTGTTTTTGCAAGGCATTTTATCAAATACCTGATGTGCGTAGAAAATATCTCCTCTCCGTAGAAAGTTACTGACCTGGAAGTTAGAACGGCATATACTTTCATTGAAACCAGTCTTGACAATATGGGCATCAATAAGATGATCACCATCGAAGGATGGTGTTGAAGCTTTGAGAACTTCTTAGAACAAGATTTTTGAACTAAACTCGTTCTTAATGGTTTCATAGAAATTCAATTACCATTTAGCCAAAAAAAATTTGAAAAACCACATACACACATACACACACAAATTTATCTCCTACAATCAAACCGAACTTTACTAATTAATGGGTAATCTTATGGGGAAAAAAATCAAAGATGAATAGAGTTACATGATCTTCAGATTGCAATCCAGACGTCAATATTGCAAAAAACGGCGAGAAAGTGCTTCCAATCTGAAGATGTCTTCCTGCTACAGAGAGCATTGCCCAGTTGTTGAGGCTTCGACTCGTTCAAGTCGAGTGAATGATAATGGTAAAATCTTCTTATTCGCTATTGCCATCTTCAGAAAAAGATTAAAAAAGAGATTGATGATGAATGGAACAAGATTGAGCTTCTTCTGAGAAGTTGGAGTACAAAGGCGCGAAAACTTTCCTTGCTCCAATGGAAGAAAACGCGGGGGCGGGTTTCTTCAACTGTCTGGGCTGGGCTTGTACTTGTCCTACTATATGGGCCTCAGTTATGGCCCATATTATTTGGGCCTCAGTTATGGACCATATTATATGGGCTCAGTTATGGACCATATTATATGGGCTAATAAAATTCAAAATGGCCTGACGATTATAAAATATTAGATGAGTTAGTTGAATTTATTTATTTTTAAGAGTCAGAATAAATAATAACAAATTAATTATAAAATAAAATAAATTTATAGTAAATATATGTATACATAAGCGTATGGCAAGAAGAAAAAAAAAAAAAATAATTAACAGTAGACTCATGTGAACGGACTTAACTCACGAACCGCATGCCCAAATTCGTTCCAAAACCCCGACTTTTGAGGTTAAGGCCTGGGGCCCTACCTGGCCCTTCAACAAGCCTATATTGTCATCATGTCTCTGTTATGCTTGTCTCAACATATATCTTCAATACCCACTTTGCGTGGTGGTGTGTTGGATGATGCATCATTCTCCTCGATCGCATCATGACATTCTTCTATGTTGGCCCACATATGGTCGGATGGGGCGTCTCTTGAGGGACGCCCCTTTGCTTGTCATGGCGTGAGAGTCACAACCTACTCTCTTCATACTATGGTTGTGACATTCTCCTCCACTTAACTTAGTCATCGTCCTCGATGACTTACTCGAGGATCAAGATGGTTCAGTTCACAGGATGATTCAGTTCAAACAGAACTCATAAACCAACTTAATTTATAAACTTTTC